CAGATTTGTATGCACTAAAACGTATCAAAATATGACATAATATACAGTCAAAATCATAACAATATACAACATAAATGCAAGAGAAAATAATTTTAAATGAGTAGTATGGTAAAAAAGTGCTCAATTTTTATTTTATGATAATTATTATTAGTTTATAAATTGATTAAAATAGTTGAAAAAAATTTAAACAACTTATAATCATGAATTATCTACATGAATTTGTTTTTATTTTTATTACTTTTTACAGCCTAYAATTTTTTTTAGATTTTCTACTTGACAAAAGATTATTATAAACCTTTTTTTTTTAAATTTTCTCATTGATCTGTAGGAACTATTAAATATACAGTAATATGAAAAAAAAAAATGTACCAATGCCTAAAAATCCATGCTCTAACTAAAGATTATACTATAAATATTAATGTTTTGTTTATAATAAATTGTGTTTTAGATATCTGGTCATTAGGAGTTATTTTGTACATGTTGGTATGTGGTGAAGCACCATTTCATTCAGCTAATGACAGTGAAACTTTAACAATGATTATGGACTGTAAGTACAAAGTGTCCAGTCATGTTTCAGAAGAATGTAAAACACTTATTGGTCGCATGCTTGTGCGAAATCCTGAGAAACGAGCTAATCTTGACGAGATTACTGCAGATGTTTGGTTGAAAGATGTCAAAGTGATAAATGATGACGAGAGTCYGTTGGTGTCTAAACAATTAATTAACGATGATGACCATGCATTAATTATTCAAAAAATGATTAGTGGAAAAATTGCAACAAAAGAACAAATTGTGGAGTAAGCTGGCATACTTATATTTTTTCTTTATTTGTTATATTAAATATGTATATAATGTAAAAGTATTACTTATGTTATTATTTTAGGGCTCTAGATAAAAACGAGTATAATCATATTACGGCTACTTATTATTTACTTGCAGAAAGAAAATTGAAGTCTGCTACACCAAAAAAATCTCAAAATTGCAAAATGTAGGTGTTTTATATTACCTTAATATTTTTCTCATTTGTTTTTAATATTTTTTTTATTCTTCTAGTGATCCGAATATTTCTCAGTTAAAATTAGATGATAATAATTCTAATCAAAATAATGCTACCATGGTAGTCAATGTTGCGCCTAAATCTGCTACATTAGCATCATTACATTCTGATCGTCCTAAAGTAATAAGACAAATTAATCTGTTTATGAACTATCTTTGATTGATTGTTGATTTTACAGAGAACACGAAAGTGTAGTGTTGTAGTTGAAGAAGAAGATGAAAAGGAAAATGAGGAAGATGATGATGATAATAGTTCATTAAATCGAAGGGGCTCTCGGTCGGAAGGAAAATTGAATACAATAGCTTCTGAACTAAGAACAAAAAAACTTTCGATTACTGAAATTCACGAAACGACTTCAACATCTGTTTCTGTTGCATCTAACAAAACCCCACCACCCTTTGTGTCTTCTCACAGTTCACCACAGCTACTTCTTGATGATAAGCAAAATAGAATTAGCAATTATATAACATATGAACAAAGACGGAGCAAAATGCATAAAAACCGTACAGCATCCTGTAGCAGTTCTGAAACTAGTGATGATGATACTGATGGGCGTAAAAAGCGAGGCAGTAGTAGGTCTTTGGCTTCATTTAAGGGTAATGATAAGGATCCTGATAACGATGGAATGGGAAATGCTGGTGGGCAAGGGACAGAGCCATCACAAGACCATAATACCGATGACCAAAAAAGAGATGAAAATAGTGGAAATAAAACAGAAAGACCAAGTGGAAGTGCTGCGGGCAGACGACGATGTATAAGTGCCAATGTCAGAAGTCGTAGGGGTAGATCAGCTGAAACTAGATTAAGAGAGAGTCATAGTTTGAATCGTATAACTGAAGTTCAAGAATCTGAAGTWAACACCCCCAGTTCAACTGCTAACTGCGATAATTTTGAATTCACCAACAAAAGTTGTCATGTGAGAAAAGCATTAATTTTTAATAAATATCAGCTCCAATAAATGTTGATTCAAATAAATTACCTGTGTTGTATTTATTTTAGGTGTCTGTAGAAAACACTGTTGCTGATAAAAACCCTGCAACCATATCAACAACTTTACCACAATATAAAAAACACCAGACGTCCAAACGTATCTCTTTGTTTAGTAAGTATTTGAATTTACAAAAAAAATTGTGTTCACAAATTCTGTTTAGCAAGAAGAACACTGATAATCGTTTATATAAGGCAAAATCGTGTTCAGAAATGGCTAACTCCAAAATTGCCATAAGAGAAGTAAGTGCAGACAGGTGTTGATCCCTTTGGCTCCACACAACAATGAATTATTTAGTCAAGGTGTATTCAACAAACAATTCCTTTTTATCATTGAATTTCCACAAGAAATTATTCCTAAATTTTTACGGCTCCTATTATGACTTTGAACACAATATTCCCTGAAAACTAATCTATCACTCACTAAATATATTTTMTATTATACTTATTGACTTGTTTTAGCATAGAAGTATTTTTTTTTTTTAAGAAAATTAAATTTGTTAATTTTTAACCAAAGTTAATTTTTACACACATATATTTTTATACATGAGACTTGCTTAAATGTGCAGTACAATTATTAAGACGCACATCAAACTATTTGTTTTTGTTTAAGTTTTTAGTCAATACCAAATTGTTATTATTTTTGATTGTATAATATATTAAATTTATTGGTTAAAAGGAAAAACAATAACATTTTACTAGATAATTAATGAAATCGACTAGTCAATTTTACCCTCAATAAAGGTCACAAAGAAATCAATTTGTTTTATATAATATATATTATTTTGTTTAAATTGTTGTTTAATTATTATTTTTATTTTTGATTAATATTTAAAATTAAAATATTTAATAATTAATATCTCTATAGTTGAATTTTATGTACAAGTAGATAATATTTATCAACGTATTTTTTTGATAACCACAAAACACTATTGTTACTGTTTATTGATTGTGAATTAAATTAAAACACTTAACAGTAAACATAAATATTTATTGTTTAAAATTTTACTTGTAGATTACCGTCTATAAGGACCAATATAATACTTTTTCTTTTTACCATGGGCATGAATGTTATAAAAATAGTGCCATACATATATTATATACATTAATAATTATACTTAATAATTAATAATTTTATTACTGTTTAACATGATAATTTTGTCTATACCAAAAACTATAAGTTATTATAAACACTAAACAAAGACAAAGTATAAGTGTGCAATATATTTACTATGTATATTTTAGCTATTTGAAGTACATTGAAGGTTGACAATCGAAGATTATAACTTGTTTTCTGTTATGAACTACCATAAATTGATTTGAATTTTTGTTTTTAATTTGATAAACATTTGTATCTTATTAAAATATTTACTTTATTTTTATTTGTCGCCTTGTTTATTTTTTGTATTATTATTATAGTAATTACTTTTATTTATAACATAGTATATTTTTTTGTGTATGTAGACTCATAATATTATGTTTGATGCAAGCTACAAATATTGTTTATGTTTCAACGAAATTGAACTGGTTGTGATTATTATGGAATTAGAATATAATATGAATATTAAAAAACTTGTTTCCATTCGTTCTTGTTTRATATTTTTATTTTATCTAAAAATCCTAATGTTTATAGTATATATATACATACTCCTTATACTCTGTAGTAAATATATATGATAAATTACTTAATTTAATTCAATTAACATTTTGATAATAACAATGATTATATTTACTTGGATAAATGTAATGCATTCTATGGCTATTCTCCTTAGTATGACTGTTTATTTTTATAAATCATTGATCACTTAATTCTAACACTA